TTAATTGGATATAGCAATACGAATTTAATGGAATAATATTTCATTTGTTTTACTACCAGTAAATTAGTAAACATTATCTTTTTATAGAAGAGTGAACCTCAAAACAAGTCATCAACCTGTAATATATTTCCACTCTAGGTCATCAATTAAATTTATTTGTAACACAGGTTACCTTACTAAAGTTTTAATCCATTTCAAATTATTCTATTAATTTTGGCCTTTAAATAGTGACGGAAATCCATTTTTCACATGCTTTTGGATTCAGGGGTATTTTTGTCATCTTATTTTTTTTTTATTTTTTAATCTTTTAGATTTTTTTTTTATAATTCTTCTTCTTATACTTCCTAACTTGTATACACTGGTAGTATAATTTTAAATTTTAAAAATTTATTTTCCTTTTATATTTTAACTTCTAGATTATCAAATTTTTTTAAAAAAATTTAAGAAATGAAGAAGAAAAATTCGAGTTAAAGTAAACATGAAAATTAATAATTTACCACTTTAAACAAAAAGAAAAACTAAAAGAATTAGCTAAGACAAGTTGTTTCTTCTAGGTTATTTAATATTTTTCAACTCCATTGAATTATTTAATTATTAATTTTCCCGTTTCTTATTCTTTTTTTTTTATAATCTAGAAGTTAAGATACAAATGACAAAAAAATTCATTTTGAAAATTAATTTGTCATTTTTATATTAACTTGTAGATTATTAAAAAAAAGGAATAAGAAACGTGAAAATTAATAATTAAATAATTCAATCGAGTTGAAAAAATTAAATAACCTAGAAGAAACAACTTGTCTTAGCTAATTATTTTAATTTTTTTTTGAAATGGTAAATTATAAATTTTCATGTTTACTTTAACTCGAATTTTTCTTCTTCATTTCTTAAATTTTTTTAAAAAATTTTTATAATCTAGAAGTTAAAATACAAAAGGAAAATAAATTTTTAAAATTTAGAATTATACTACCAGTATATACAAGTTAGGAAGTATAATAAGAAGAATTGTAAAAAAAAAAAAATTAAAAGATTAAAAAATTTAAAAAATAACAAAATGACAAAAATACCCCTGAACCTAAAAACATGCGAAAAATGGATTTCCGTCACTATTTAACGGCCAAAATTAACATAATAATCTGAAATGGATTAAAAGTTTAGTAAGGTAACCTGTGTTACAAATAAATTTAATTGATGACTTAGAGTGAAAATATATTAAAGGTTGATGACTTGTTTTGAGGTTCACTCTTTATAAAAATACATATCTATTATGGCATTTCTAAGTGTCCCAATAAATATTTATTAAGACACTAGTAAACGTCTTAATAACTAATTAAGTTATGGTGACATTGGTATATACTACACTAACAAACAATGCCACAATAGGAGAGGCGTCATGATAGACTAGCTGATGAGGCACTTTAAAGTGTCATAATACCTATTTTTTCTTGTAGTGTTCGTATGGTTATTATTGTTACATTCCCTATTGATGATACACAAAGTGGTTTATTATTTAAGATATTCAACAAATTATTACATTAAAATATCCAGTGTAAAATTATACTACAAAATTTATTGTACAAATATATTAGTTGGTATATTATTTTATATCTATACTATTACTAATCTGTATACATGTATTATGTGTGGTTTTTCAGTTAATTATATCAAACCGAACCAAACCATGAATTTCAGTCCCATTAATCGAAATGAAAACAGGAATTTGAAAACCGCAACATTCACCTATTTTTAGAAGCGGTTTAATTACAAATTCGAACGGATAACCAATTTGAACCGAATCGAACGGTTTGGATACGGTTTGATTCTAGCGGTTCTTGCAATGCGGTTAAACCGTACCCATCCATAGCAGTGTCATCTCTTTCCCTCTTTCACCCTACAAAATCCATAAAGAAAGGCTAGATTTTGGACCATACTTAATAGTTTCAAACAATATGTCAAAGTCATTTGACTCCAATTTCAAAATCAATTGGTAATGAGTCGAGTGACACAAATAACTTATAAACTGGTCTCAGGTCTTGATCACGGGTGATGTAGGATCTTTGTTTCAACACCCTCCCTTAACCCAATGGGGATTTACCCAATGCCTCGAGCTTGCAATAATAACAATAATTTTTTTTCAGTTTATACGTATGGATCAGTCAATAATTTAAAGCTGTCTATAATTCAAAGCCCAATGTGTCGGTCAAACTTCACCTGCTGATTAATTTATTAGATTGAGTCAGTTAACACAAATACAACCCTACATTAGATAATCATAACCCATGGTCTGACTCTGATATGATGTCAAAGTCACTTGTTATTCCATCTCGAAACTAATTTGCAATAAGTAGGGTGGCACGGGTAGCTTATTAATAAATGTCAGATCCTAAGCACAACCAATTTAAGATTCTTTGTCCCAACACAACAAGCTTGCACAGGGAGTTGCAAACTCCTAAATATAATATTGCGGCCATATTCTTAAGATCCGGTGCTACTATCTATTTTTCCTCCAGATCTGGTGAAGCAACCAAGAGACTTCAAGTTGGCGAAGGAAAAAAGTTAGTCACAGAGGATGCTGGCGAAATAGATTTGGTCACAGAGTTTTGAACCGAAGGGCATCAATTGTATACACTATGTAGTTTGCGGTTGTTTTCATTAAACAAATTGATTCTTTGTTTTAATTTTTTTACGAATTTGCTTCAAGTAAATAACCATTACCCCAATAATTACATTGTGTTACCATAGATGAGTTTTTGGTTGGAGTCGTCGACCAACTGCCTTAGATGTTTTAGCAAAAGTTAAAAACAGATTGATGATAGTTTTGAGGGAAAGGGCAAATGCGTCTTCTCATCCCTCTTTTTTGCTGATCATTGGTCTGGGTAATCACTGAGACATCAGAAGATGAACTTGATGATTGACTTATCGTTCACATAACGTTCTTAATATTTCTCTAGAAGGTGATGTCTATTTGATAATCGAATAAACCTTGGGCATGTTTTTTATATTAGCCCTAAACTCAAGTGTATTTGTTTATCTCAAGTTAAAGTTTCAAAATTTAAATAGAGGTTCTTTCTTTTTAGTATTTTATAATTAAAGAGAAAAAACGGCTAACAGCAAATAAGTATTTAACAAAGGTATGGTACTTCAATCAAGTCATATGTCAACCACACTTTGGCATTCATTAGTGGATCTACGAGCCATTTCTAATCCTTGTGTTACCAATGAAACTAAATAATCCGGTACAAAGTTAGTTTCTTGATCAAACGAAAGGTTCTTCCATTGATTGCTCATATGTTGTATTGATTTATTCTAAACACTTCATTTACATTAAATATTGGGTCAAAATTGAAATTACAACATTCATTTATGTGTAAAATAAATAAGATTGGTGAAAACTGACTCATTTGTGCACACACCATTCTTATATGCAATGGTTCAATGAGAAAGTTCCTATCACATTAAGCTTATTTTTTTCTCTATTCTTTTTTTTGGCTGAAACATTATGTTTGTATTATTTTTTCAGTGTGTATTTTTAGATATTTTTTGTATTGGGAATGTAAAAAGGTGCATTGAAAATGTAAAAAATTATACTGGGATGAGACATTTATTCTTTAATTATTTTTAAAAAACCATCAAAAAAACCTTCCAAACAGACTTACTTCCAGAAAGAAAATATTTCCTTCATTTCTATATGGATAAAGATTTGTGCATAAAAATCTAATAAAGAATTTTAACACGAAATGAATCATAATCTTTCACACTTAAAACTTACTTTTAGAGTTTATAGCCAACAACAAACCTCCCCCGATGGTGTTTTCCCCCCAAAAAAAGCCCACGAGATTGTTGCTCTATGTAGCTGATTAGATGCCAATGGTACGTAGTCATATCTTACTTCATTTTTCACATACTGTATGCATATTCCCTCATTGTTTGTGGAAAGGTGATAAACATTTAGGCCATATGTGGCAAGTTCCAAAATGCCTCATAATTCTAATTTATTTCTTAAACTCAAATTTAAGATAAAAAAGATATTGTTTACATAATTTTTTATTCATATTTAAAATCCTATCTCAGAATTTATTTTATTTGAACTTTAACCTTTTACAAATGAAACACCGCTTAGAACTGTTAATCAATTGCGGTTGTTGAGTAACAACGGTCGACAGTTTGATAGTTGCGGAAGATGATCTATTGATGGTGATAGAATTATTATTTTATGTAAAAAATTATCCATATTACATTTTAAGTTTTTACTCAAAAGATTTATTAAATGACATTTTAAATTTAAAATAAAATTGAAAATGGAAACAAAATGATGTTCATACCTTAAGTTGCAACAAACTATAAGTTTCTACCATTAAACCCTTGCATGTTGAAAATTTGCACAATGAAAATGCAACGGGATACAAAATAGAATTTCGAGTTATCATCATAAACACTTTAAAACAGTATTTTTCACTCTTCGATGGATTTTATGTGTTTAAATGCTTTCTTCCATGGATTTTTTTCCAAAATTTTTTTAATTAATAAATATTCCATATTTTTACATTTTCAATGTACATTTTTTACTCCACCAACAGGAAAAACACATCAAAATACACATTTTAAATTTAATCCAAACGTACCTAAGTTTCTAACTATTTTACTCTCTCTGTCCCAAAATTATTGTCTAGTTTGAGATTTCACTTTTATTACAATTTGAATTAAAAATGAAAAACTAAACTGGACAATAATTATGGGACGGAAGGAGTATCTTTTACTATCAGTCCTTCTTAGTTTTGGAACTATCTTATATATCCGAGATTTTTTTTTTTTTTTCACTTTTCAAAATTTCACCTTTCAACCATAACTAGCTAGATTTGATATTAATTTGCAAGTGATTTGCCTTTTATAAAATCTGTTTCAATTTTTCTCTAAACCTCCTCAACTCCTACCTATGCAAACTAGAACCACCCCTCGTTTTTTTTTTTTTTTTTTTTTGAATGAACCACCCCTCATATATTCATATTTTCCTCATCACTTTTATAAGCTTACATTTTCAAATTAGTTTTTAATTATAAAAATTTCATGCAAGTCCCAACTAAAACAAAAACGAAATAGTTCTATTAGTAAATTTTCGAAGTGCAAGGGAGGTGAATTTCTTTTTCACTTTCAAGAACTCTTTTTTCAATTGAATTTCAATTTAGGTTGGAAATATACCCAGTATTTCCGATTCTAATTCTGAATTCAGCCCTCAATAGGTTTTGGAGTTGAGACTTGAGAACTTCCAATTCCAAAGTCCAAACGATTTGACAATCAAATCATTTTCTATTCCGTCCGTTGTCGTAATTGCTGGCGCCGATGGCTACGTCGGGGCGGCGTCTTTCATGATCGATTGAGGTGACAAAGATTGGTACGTATCTTCTCTACCTCTTTCCCCATTTCCATGTTCTCCTATTTAACAATGTTATCGAATTCAAAGGGTTTTGGCTTAGAATCGTAATTCTGAACTGTAGTTGGCTAAGAGGTTTATGCCACTCTGATTATGGAGTCTTTCTGGTTGATGTGGCCACATACTTCTTCACTTTGCTTTGTTTTGCACAATAGTTCTGCTGAATTTGAGTACTTAATAACTGAAGAAATGTAACAAGCATACTTGTTTATAGGTCCTGATCGGGGCAGGAGGATCCATTTGAGCTTTTGGGAGTTCTCTAACTTCAGGTAATTCATCGGAAAAGTGAATTATTATCGTAATAGTCGTAGTTCTTTGACCTTAAAAATAGCATTTCATCAACAGTTTTGTATATCAAAATGAAATGAGGTACTAGATGATTATGCGTCTTTCAATAAAATTAGCATTTGATCAACAACTTAGCGTATGAAATCCCAAGTGTGCTTCATATTTGAAGATTCTGCTCCTGAGATTCATACATATGGTCCCATCCAACTAGAGTCGGTTTTAGGTCAAAGATAACGAGCCATAACATTAGGTACAGGAAAAGATGGTTTCGCCATGGTTAATGGTAATGTGCAATGCTTTTGCTCATGTTTATATTCCGCAGATAAACGTCATATTCAAAGTTCACTTTCTGGCATCCAAATAATTTTTACCAGTTAGCCTAATATTTTCTATATGATTTGGAATAGGCGAATAGCATTATAATGCTGAACACCAAACATAAATAGAGTATCATCGCAAGCACATGCACCTTGGATTGTGGCTGTGGACATAATATGTGGCAGTTAATCTAGGATCTAGATAGCAATGTTCTTGTACTCCTCCAGTAGTTTCTTTCAGTTTGCTGGAAGTGTGGCTGCAGTGGAGTTGTACCTCCTGCTAACTTTACTTCATAAGCTTGACTTTCTAAATTCTCAAATTTACCAAGAAATCTTCACATCCGGTAATGCAATTTCCAATTCGGTTCAAACATGCAACGTGAATACTGAATAGCAAATCTAAGTACCGTTATTTGCCATTATGTTCTGAACACTACTCTCAATGCAATTCTTCTACATTTATTGTATTTTGGTGGTTTGTGTTTTAGCTTGGTCTAGGTTTTAAATCTTATATATATCCTTTTGATGCATACATTTCTAAGGGAAATCTCATGGAAGTTGTGAAAACTCTTATATGTATCGATGCGTATATTGACTGCTGTGTTGCCTAGACTTTTATGTATTTGTTCCATTCCAGATCATCTTGATAAGCCTTGTTGTCTGAACTTGTCATCCCTCCACTTTTTTGTATATTTATGAATTGCAGCAGCACTTACTCTCAATTCTTCTTCACTCCATCCCCTTCTTTTCTCTTTGATAGCTGTACATGGGGAAAGAGAAACGATACTTCACTTGGACCACAGAAATGGATAAAGTTCTTGGGGCTTGCTTAAAAGAAGAATTGAATAAAGGAAACAGATTGGATGGCAAATGTGCATGGAAACCTACATCTTGGACTGCTGCTATGAATACTCTTTTGAGGCAACTCAATGTTAGGATCGAGAAGAAGCACCTCACGTCTCGTTTGAAGACATGGCATAAACACTATGAGATCTTGCATCCTTTACTGGTTTCGTGCGCTTTTAATTCCGCAATTATATGGGATCACTCAAATGGGAGAATTAAAGTTAATGATGAAAATGTGTGGAATGAACAATTAGAGGTAACTAATTTTTTCATTTTGGTCGTGTTTTTTTTCTTAAAGCTGTGTACACGTTGAATAAAATATGAGTTTGTTCTGCATACACGTGTAGGTGCTATGTAAGTTGCCCCACTCTTTGAAGTCTCATGTAGTGGTGCTATCATTTTAGGGTGCATCGACCATCAAGTGATCCTGCTATTGTCATGTGGAATGGAATACCTAGTTGGCTTTGTCTGGAACCAATTTCTGTGGTTACTTTTCACAAACCTTATTAGTCACTTTTTAGTTTTTGATAAAAAGTCCTAAGATAAATGCGACTTTTATCTGTTCAGAACTTCTCCTTTTGTATACATCCCAATCTTTCTAACATCATAAACAGGGACATTAGTACTGGGTATTTGATATTTGAACTGGTTTTACTAACATGCATCATATGTTTTGAAGGCCAATCCAAAGCTTGCACCCTATAGGAAAAAAATTGTGATTGAGAATTGGGATGATATATGTATTCTCTTCTCCAAAGCTTTTGTTACTGGACAATGTGGAAACCTCACTAGAGAGACAAACAAAGAGAAAGAACTTGGATCTTCCAAAGAAGAAGAGTCATTTGGGACTAATGAGAGAACAGTGGAGAAGGATGATTTAGGGAGCACTCCGTTGGATGGACAAAAACGCTGGTTGAATGCATCATCTTCATCTGGTTCTCAAGATTCGAAGAGGAGACTCACAACCTCACAAACAATGGCTGATGTGTTGGGCAGGATGGCTGATTCGCTCAATAGATTCGTGATGGCAAAAACAAAAAAAGCTACTACCCAAGAAGTTCTAAGAGAATTGCAAAAAGTCGACTTGACCCGCACACAAATGTTGACGGTGCTGGATATGATGATGCATGACCAAATACTATTTGATACCTTTGTTGGTTTGCCAAGTGACCTGCGACAGCCATGGATCTTGATGCAACTTACAAAGTGATCAATGTATTTTCTTGTTCTTTCTAGTCTTTCTATTACATGAAAGTTTCGGATTGGATTAACGGTCTGCAACATGGGGTACTCATTGTTATCTTTTTGATGAATCAATCATAGGATTAGATCTTTCGGCTTGCTGAATTTGTTAGATTGGCGCAGGTAGAAATTTGGTTTTCGATTAGTTATATAGATGTTGTGTCTGGCGTTTTGGTGTTTGATTCGAATTTCAAGTACCATTTCATCGTAGTAATTGTTCAATATCAACACTCCTTGCTGTGTCAGCTATTTGTTGAAAATTTACAATAGCTTTTACGGCTAGTATCAGGATGGTGTTAAAACAATATAATTAGTATACATGTCAAAACATATTTAAAATTTTCATTTGTGATGAACATATTTTACAGTCTTAAATTATGTTTTTTTTTTCTAGAATAAAAAATCGCTTGAATATAATTTAGTATGCATGTTAACAATGAAATTTCAAAATGGACCAAGTCATGGGAAAAAAGTCGAGCCATAGAATTGCAAATTAAATCGGAGTACAGATATTTGAGATTTTGGTTGGTGTTCTAAATCAATTCTTTGATACTAACAAACACAAAGGATTCGTAATACAATCTGAATTCCAAAACCTCAAATCGGAGTTTTACTATCAATTCTATCATATTCAACCAAAATAAACAAAAAAAAATTCTATGAACTACTCAGACCCTAAAGAGATGGCATTCAAAAGGGATCATTGTAACTACAAAAATGTAATAGTTGCTGCTTGAAAGTTTTGCTAGGTGGACCACTTGTACAAAATGGTGAATCTAGTTAACAATCTCAAGGCAGGGGTGGTCCATCTTCACAGAAATATAGCTATGTTCAAAATATAGTAGTCAGTCTTTTGAACCTGCAATAAAGGTATCATCATTAAAGGTGGCCGTGGCAGAGCGAGACACATATCTATCTGCAGGAAAATCAAGTCTGCGTGGAATGCAAAGCATAGATGTTTTGCAGTTTACAGTAGTTAAAAACCCTAAAAGCAAGGACAAACAAAACAATCACTGCAACAAATGATATAACCATTAGCTTTCTCAACCTTTTAGAGAATATGTTTTGTAGATCTTTTCAAGTACTCAATCCCAGGAGCTAGGAAAAGATATATTTGGATATAGCTTTATATTTGAGCCATAAATGATGAAGACCTCATATTCTGTTACATTGCAACTAATCCAGGAAAGTAAGGTCCTAAGGAGACAGAACCATTTTTTAGTGGTCAGTTAACTGATTGACATTTAGCCTCAAATCACACGGGTCTGCCTAATTCAATTTCTATAACTTTCAATTTTGCATCAAAAGACAGTTGAAACCCATCAAAGTTTATTGGAAGATAAAGACAGCAGAACAAGGGAGGGGTCCCGCAAGGTGCCAGCCCCGCAGAATCCGATGTTGCCAGTATATTTAGAAGCCTTCATCTATCTCAGTGATATCAAGAAACATTACAGACAACAATGATAAGGCACAGAATTCTTTCCATTGATTTTTTTTTTCCCCCCATCAGTTTTTCATGCATAGAATCCCTTATAGAGGACCTACCAACTTTAGTAACTGCAAATCCAAAGGATGCCTACCTTTAGCTCAGTGTAGGAAACAACATTCCGAGATCAAATTGATGAGGTCAGGCATGGGGCTGGATCTATAGAAGAGGAGACTGTCCTAATTTCTGACAACATCAAATACAAAAACTCTAAATTAAGCAGTCACATTACTAAATGTTACTGGACTATGAATGGAAATGTCTATTAGGTACACATCCTATATAAAACTCAGTGAACAAAGCAACATTTCCCTACGATTTCTCCCCTAATACCATCCATGTCGTCATGAAAGTTCTAGTTATCACTTTGATACGCTAGCCAAGATGATTCCAGATATAAAGAAAAATGTCATGCTTGCCATTCCTTAATTGTTCTTGTCTAAAGTGCTAGATTCAAAACGTACCTAACTACAGATGCTTCGTAGTTGAGGAAATTTTACCATCCCAGCAGTTAGATACTTTTAAATTGGAAGCAAAGTGACTACTAAGCTAAAGGAGTATATGTCCCATTTCCATGTCTGCTGTCAAATATTTCTTTTCAGAGCTCAAATTAAATCAATTTCAAGCAGCGTTGATTATGACCAAATGGATGTCACTGAGTCTCAAAAGCCATTTTCATCTGGGTTGCACCCAACCAGACAATCACACTCTTGACAAAAGAAAATAGGATGGAAATGTAATCAGAAAGATATAAAAAGTAATGATCATCTTGCACCAAAAGAAAATAGGATGGACATGTAATCAGAAAGATATAAAAAGTAATGATCATCTTGCATCAAATTAGGACATATGCTCAAACAAATAAAATCGGCAAATGAGGTTAAAAAAAGGTTTTTTAGATGCTATAGTGCAAATATCACATATTATAGCACTACTCAAGTTGACAGAAGAATACCTTTGGGTGGAGGAAAGAAGTTTCTACTAATTCTTTCAAACTGATTCATCACAGGTTTAGCATGGGAAAAGAGTACAGTTCTCATCTCAGAAATACTCATCCCGTTCTCCAGAGGATTTTTATTACCAATACTGGAAAACATTTCACTTGCTCTTCGTTGCAAGCCATTGAAATTTTCGGCAAAGGTAAAGGAAGCATCCCCTGCAATACTTTTCAGGCTAATTAAGCTTCGTGATTGAGGAACCTCCAATGCACTAGTTCTAATCGCCATGAGAGCTACAGGAACAGGCAAAAACATTAAAAACAATATCAATAAGTATATAGATCACAGGCAACAACAATCAGCAATTTTCCAGTCATCAGCCTTTCTAGACAACCTTGAACCATGAATTGACATATATTAACACGCAAACGATAACCATGCCACGACGCCTAATACTACCAACACATTAAAAGAATAAAAGAGTGGCAAACTGAAGCACAACAAGAAAGCAACCATGCTGCCTGATCATCAAAGTACTTTACGGCCCATAAAGTGTATCATTTAATGAATGCAACACATTGCATGCCAAGCAATCATGAAGAACAGCAAGATTAAGTTACCGTTGTAAGGAAGCGCGTACACATAGTTAGCTGGAAGACCAATGCCAAAACCAGCAAGAGTGACACCAACACTGAATCCAGCACCACAGCCAGCACCGACATAACCAATCGCCTCAGGGCCAAAACCAGGTCCCCATCCAACACCACAACCGATACCTACCCCTATACCCCAAAAGGCTCCTAATGTTGGGTGCACAGGATTCCACCTCTCATACCTTCTAAACAACCCCTTGATGATCATTTCAACCAATAATCCCACACCACTATCAAATTCTATTCCAACAAACCAAAAGGGCCAACAACTCAATAGCAAACAGAGCAATCTGCATTCAAGATTGTTAAAAGAAGATTAAAAATCATAATGATCAAGTGTAGCATTAAGAAATCCGAAATGCAAAACTCCAGAATGGCAAGAATAAGAAAAAAAAAACAAAAAGCCCATTTCATATCATAATCCAAATGCAAAAAGAAAAACTACCATTAAGCAGGGGGCGAGGAATCTGGAATAGAGCAGCCTGTCCCAGTATCTTGTAGGTGAATGCGTCGGTCAGTCATCGAGCAAAGAACAAACCCGGGAGAAGTTGGCAATGACCCGAGTCCCGACCCGATATGTGAGGGCTTGAAGAAATAAGAGGTCATAATTTTATGGCTGAACATTGCGGGCCCACAGCCCGACTAGACTATTTTATTTCAAAATTTAAAGTCCCGCCACTATAAATGGTGAACCGAAACCAAAAAGTTCCAAAACACTAAAAACACATTTCCCCCAAATTTGATTCTGGAGTTTTCGAGATGAGGAGACGTTCGGCGAAAAGAAAGACTTCCGAGGCTGATACTCCGATCAAGCCGGAGCCTGTGAAGACGGAGGCTTCGCCGGGAACTGGAAGCCCTAACAAATCGGGTGCTGACTCACCGAACGAATTCGATTTCGATTTCGAAATCAAGAAGCTGAGGTCATCGTCATCTGCATCTGCTAAGAAGAAGACCGATGGCGTCTCTGGAGGAGGAGGATTACCGTCGGCGTCCAAGTTCATGCCGCGGAGCGGAGGATTATCTACAATCACCGGCGTGAACACGATCGCAGATCTGAAGGATTTCGCTTCGTCTGAGTTGCAATCGATTAAGCAACAGCTGGAGCGGTCGCACTCCGAAATCATGAAGGATATGGATGCTTCTCAATCTCGTCTCCAGAAAAGATTCAAGGTTTTTCTCTTACTCTCGAACAAATTACATCTAAGAATTATGAACTCGAGATCTCTAATATTCTAATTAATCTGTCTTTTTTTCACTTTAATATCTAGTAGAAATTATACAGACCGCTGAAGGTTTTTCACTGCGTGACGATTTGTAGTTCAATTGTGAAACAATTTAGCTAGTTTTTGGAATGCGGTGCTATTATTTGTGACAGATGTTTTTTGGAATGTGATTTGTAGCAAAAATTATTCAAGTTCTATTATCTGAAATTGATCTACAGAGATCATGTCGCACCTCTAAAGGAAAGTTAATACATGATAGTTTCCAGTTGCTCTGAGCATATACAAATTAACGTACAGTGACTTGAGTGATTGTTTTCGTCCATAATTTGTAATTTGACCAGCTTTCATGTTGCTCTGGGAATCATTGGATGAGAAAGAGTCAGACTAAATCATTATCTTTGGAGATGAGGTGTCTTTCTTCACTTGTTTAATTGCATTGGCCACACTCTACAGTATGCAAAATTCTAAATGGATGTGTCTCATTGGTTTGGGTTCTGGACCATTATGTGTTACAGTTTGCATTCATCAACTTATTTAAAAATAATTTTTAAAGTTGTATACAAATATTTTGAATTTTGTTAGCTTGTCTTGTTAATAAGCAGCTGTTACTATGTGTTACTTTGTGTTTTTTTTTTTTTATTTTTATTTTTAATATTTGCGAGATGCCTTATTTATCAACTTCAACCATGTGAGTTAAATTTAGGTAAATAAGACAGCTATACATGTAGCATGTGTCAAGACTATTATTGGATTTTTTTTTTTTGAAAAGGTTATTGGATTGTGTTATTTGAGAAAGAAATCAGACAAGAGTGTAGAATTTGGTCTTAAACTTCTTTTATTTGCTCTCTCTGGTGTTTGTTTGAGACTGCAAGAGTACCTGATCATTCCCTTGATTTAGTTGATAATTTTGGGCTCTTGGATGCTAAGTGGTAGTTTTCCAATATCAGGCTAGTGCAGATCTGTGTTTAAACACTTGCCTAACGCCTTCTGTTCCACTTTGTCAGATGCAGTCTCAAGGAGGCCAGCAAGTGATGGATGAAGCTGAGAGGGAGTTCAAAGAGATATGTGACAGTATTGGGAATAGTCAAGACGCAATGAAGGTAAAAATCTTTAACATTCGTTAGACTTTGATGTCCAATATTGTCTCACATTTTTTTCTAAATATTTTATCTCAATTTGATGGATCTTTCAGGCTGACTTCACTAAATTCATGAAAGAAGCACAGTCCAGTGCAGCCCGTTGTAAGTTATCTTTTTCACAGTATGGATGGGTTTGCTTCAGTAATAAGTGATATTACGGAGCCTGATTCTAAGAGCTTTCAGTAGTGGCTTGTCCATATCAGCATACAAATTGTTGTGGAACATTATCATTCCTATCCAGTTTGCATGTATGTCCCGATTAATTTTATTTTATTTTGTTTGTTGGAACTTTCCAGTGAGCAAAACAACCCTTCCTGAAATTTTCCAGTCCTTTGAGAGCTCCATCAGTTCCCTGAGAAGCCGTTATGGGATTTCCTCAACTGCAGCTTGTTGACACGATTCAGGAGGTTCTAGGTGAGTGGCTTTGGGAAATTTAATGTTTTTATTCAGAAAAACTCGAGTGATCATGTTGCTGCAAGTATTACATACATTGAAAAGTACTTTGCTTTGCTTGAAATACATTCATGTTGTTGTAGATCTGGGATTTCGTACTGATATCTCTTGAAAGGGTGACCAAAATAATTTCTGATACTCTGAGGAACTTATGCTTTCATATAGTAGCAGTTAAGCAGGAAAGACAATCAGGATAATGCACATATCATATTGCCCATATGTGTTAATGTTTGTACTTGAAGGGTACATATCACTGTCTTTCATCAGAATCATACATATATTTAGCATTCACAGCACTTCTTTGTTTAGTTTGACATTTATTCAAACAACGATAGTTAACAATAGTTTATACGCGGTTAAAATAGATATCTGCTGAACTATAACGGCTGGGCTGGGTGCGGAGGCACTCACGCCAGTGCTCTCCAGTTTGATAACTGCTTATACTTCAATAAAAGACGTAAGACAGTTGCTTAATTGGGTTTTTCGGAATATAGTAAGGACACTTAGTTTTGTTTTGAATTTAGGGGTGTAATAAGGCAAAGTGCACATTGCTGTGACAATTATTTCTATAAATTTAAAACTATATGCAATAGGGATGTTGTGGATAATATAAGGGTTGGGCTGAATGATGGGGGGATCTTTTTTTGTAATTGGTAGGTCCAATGGAATGGCATTGAGTATACACGCCATGCTAACTAGGAAATTTGGGTTGCATTAGGTAGGTATATAGACTTGAACTTTCTACACTTCAGAAACATAGACAATGGTCATATACAATAATGAATGTTATGAGCTTCTTGAATGAAAAAGTAAAGTTTTTCTCTCATGTGGATTTCACCTTTCAGTATTTGGAACCTTTTGTTCAAATCGAAGTTTTGAAACCTTGCGTTCATCAAAGTCTGTCTACATTTCGCTTTGTATTTTTCAATAGCCAACAAAATTCCTAAGCTCTTGCATATAATGTCAATTGTTTATTTATTTTTCCTGGTGAAAATATAATGTCAAATTTCATCTCCATCTGTATTGCTAGCCATTGGAGCTCTTGCGTTATCTTTGAAGTAGATTGACTGTATTTCTGCTTGTTTACTGATAGTAGTAAAGAAGCTGAGCATAAGATACATGCATAACTCAGAACAGTCATTCTCCTTTTTCATTTGGCAGGGCGATTTAGACGATAATTATCAAGCATAGCTGCTGGATGTCTCCTACTACAAAGTTACTATCTTAGCTTGTTAGTTGTAAGTAAAATGTCCAGGTGATTCTGACTACGCCGAATGAGGAGAACTAAGTAGAAGAAACTTGTTTTGGCTTATTTTTGTTATTTTTCCCAATGGGCGAACATATTTACGAACTCGAGTTCGATTGCAGACTGTATCTACAACAGTGATCAACTTAGATGAGCTTATCTGCTTATGTATATTGTTTGTTGAAAGCTGTGGTAGTCTTATTTTCAAGTCGTTTTTCTTTAATCTGCGGATAGTACTGCAAACAGGGGTATTTTTGGGTTTTTTGCATACAAATGTGAATCTGATCAGATAAGCTTTTTTAGCCCAAGAACACCCAAAATGATAGGTCCTTAGCCAACCAATTCAAACTGGTAAAATAAACTCGAAGCTCAGAAGACAATTATGGAAACCTTTGCCTATACAAGACCAAGACCTTTAATCATACCCTCCCAAACTTCATTTCTCTCATCAAACTCCCCTTCTCAGCTTGGAATTCTTACATTAAAGAATGGAAGGAACAACCAATCTCCTCCTATACTACAACTCACTTCAATATCCGCAACTTTGAATACTCCAAAGGGTTTTGGACCGCCGCCAAAGAAATCCAAAAGAACAAAGAAATCAAATAACGATGACGAAGACGATGAAGACGACGAAGATGAAGGAGAAGACCGAGGGGAAGCCGGTGTTATACCGGAGATAGTGACGAATAGAATGATGAGCAGAATGGCATTTTCAGTGGGGATCCCTTTGTTTACAGGGCTGTTGTTCTTTCCATTGTTCTATTATCTTAAAGCTGGGTTGAAGATAGATGTGCCAACTTGGATACCTTTCATTGTGTCGTTCATCTTTTTTGGGACAGCACTTTTGGGAGTTAGTTATGGGATTGTTTCTTCAAGTTGGGATCCCCTGAGAGAAGGGTCTTTTTGGGGTTGGACTGAGGCTCAGAAGAATTGGCCTGTTTTCTGGCAATCAATTTGGGGAGGAAGTGGATCAAAGAAGAAGTAACTATGTACGAATTGCTCTTTCAGCTACCAATTCATTTGCAAAATTTTGTTCTTGCTATGTTGTAAGTTAATACAAAGAGATCATCACTTCTTCCAATCATTTCTAAAGTAGTATTTTCTTTTGGTGCTCTGCAGAGTATAGAATCCACATAGCTTTTTTACTATTCCCCCCTCCCATTTTCTCCTTGCAGTTGATATTTAGGGTTAATGGCTATTTTCATGTTTTCCTTAGGAATGGAAATGTTTAGGACTTCACTTACCTCCACCCCACCATGCTAAAAACTCTTAACTAAATTTAAGAAATTATGGACCATTTGATCTTAAAAAATGGAACTATTAATAATAATATAAATCAGATAGGCGTTCCTTTAGTTATTTTATCTCAATAATATGAGTATCAAAAGTTCATCTTTGAAGTTTTTTTTTTTTTTTTAAATGATTGCCAGGAAAATTCCTCGTATTCTCGTTGTTTGACATCAATAAATACACGTCTTGATGGAAATTAAAGATTCTAAATTGGAGTAAACTACTACAAATACACAGTATGACATTGCACACAATCTTTAGTTTGCTGATGCCTCTTCAAATTGGAGCATAAGATCTTGAACACCGAACTTAGTAGTGAGGGAGATAGAACTGTTGTGGCTCAAACCACGCATATGTTTCCGTTTGGTACTTGTCTTGCAAAAATGGCATTCGATTTCAAACAGTTTTTTTCGGTGCTTCAAACTCGGTATTAGCCACTATAAGTAGTGCCTTCTCAACTATCAGATATGGATCTCCTTCCTCCGGCACCTCATTCCTTCTGCAGTCAAATAGCCGGCATTCTTTCTGCTACAACTATTCAGATTTTTGTGTTGGACTCAGCAACATGGTGTATGTTGTACGAGAATTTTATATGCTCTTAAGTGTAGTTAGAGAACCCAAAAAGACTTCACACAATTTTTCTTTTCATGGTAAGGATGATTGTCAAACAAAGATCAATTCCATTATTTGCAACTCTATGTTTTAAATTTTTTACTTATCACTTAATCTTTCAGTCATCCTAATACCAAGCTTTTTTTAGTCCACAAAATTAAGACTCCTGATAAACAAAATAAAACAAAAGACAAGTTCCGTTGCTGAATAAATAACATATAGCCTTTTTGATTGCAAGGTTTCACCAAGAAAAATGCACAGAAGTGCCCAACTTGCAACTCCTTTCGGCCAGAAGACAGTACATATTCCAAATTTGAAACAAACAAATCAAATGCAGATTAATCAGCATCCATTTCCTCAAGTGCAGCCTTAGCTGCAGCTTTGGCTTCCTCCAGAAGATCATCCGGAACCTAAAATGCAAAATATCAACCAGCATGTCAACTTAGAAACCAATTAAACTGACCAATTTCTGTTCATCTATTTGCACATAATAGCCAACCATAACAATTTATCAAGACATCATCATCAAGCCCTTTTATGTATATTCTTTAACAAACAAAAGTGGCAAAACATACCAATCAACAATGGAGTACAAAACACACAAGGGTAAATTGTAAATAAGCCCTTAAAGCCTACTGCTAATTCAACTAAACACTTCGCAAAACATCTTCAAAGCCACAATATGCCATAAAAAATGTAAAATAACTAAGACCTTAAGAAGGTCTACAAAAAATGACAAGAGACATTAATAACTATTTAGAAACTTAATGGGTCCAGTTCCAGTTCTAAATATGATTCCACAGAAAGCACCAAAGACGAAAATTACTAAAAAGTCCAACCATCTAGTACGACCAATGAACGATTTCAACAACTTATCGTACTCTGCCCATCGAAAAGAAAAAACACAAAGCTTGGAGTAAAAAAGTCGGACATCGGATTACCTTCTGGTGTTGACGATTGGATTCATCACATACCCAACTCATTTCTAATTCAAATGCCTTGTCCTTTGCCTCGTCATGTACCCCATAGATTCTGTTTAGAATGAGCATGAATGTCAAATCTGGAAAATGCTTAAGAACTTATTCTAGGACCAGTATTGATTAAATCAAAATGCAGGGAAAACGGGGGCTATATATTCAGTCTTTGGCTACACCCAACACATAAGCGGCCACATTCCTAAGGCCAAATTAAGGGAAAGTAGAAATGTACAATGACACTTACATTTTTGCTACCTCAATCACCCCCTGGCGGCAAGTCATTTCAGAAAGCTTCAGTTTTTCAATCTCCCTGTGGCAAAAAAGAAAGGGGAAAAACACCATGCTCAGAACAAAAATTATAAATGAGAGAAAACAAGAGGTACTTATATCAAAGCATAAATGTCCAACTAATGCGATTTCAGGGGCCAATCCATTTAGATCCACATCACAGGTGAGTCGAAATAGATTTTCATTGTTTAGATCCTGCTTCACCTCGTGAGAGTCAAGAAATTATTGTCCAAAACGCCTTTCCCCCACCACTAACAAAAGATGACCTCAATCGCGAAAAGGCTCCTGCACTGGGTACTCAGCCATGATCCTAGGTTTTGGAAGGGAACTATAAAATTGCAGAAGGAATCGTACTGAAGATCCAAACTAATTGAATCAGACCATAACCAGTATAATGAATGTCCATATAGGCCAGAACTTCCACTGCATTACTGATTAAACCATTATTAAATAACAAAAATCCAGATTCTCCCCAAAGTTAAATATTTTTCTTTTAGCTAACACAAGCCTAACTCTTGAATATAGTTTCAATTGAAACAATAGAATGCCCCGCAAGACAAAATATAAAACATCATATGGACACCAACTACGAAAGGAAAGCTTCACTTTAAATTGACATATCAAAACAGTACCCGGGGGAGGTTGGTCCCCGAAACTGAAGACTTTGGGTAACTTTGGGGCATCAAGGATGAAAACCCCAGGATCTTCTACCCATGGTTGAAGACAGCAGAATAAAGGGCGGAATTTGATAAATTTGAGTACAGAAGATAACTTACGTCTTAGCAGCCTGCCTGCCTTTTCCAATTGAAGTGCCAAAGTACCTCTGCAATATAATTAACAAGTGATCAACAGAATTACAAGCATTTCGTGAGGAAAACAAAAACAACATAATGCAAAGTTACTCCATTCATACAAATTACTAAGAAAGCTGCAAACAAGCTTCCATGCAATGTCAAAGTTGTTTGATTGTCGATTAATTTCAAGTATCGGAACTCACATGTGAAATGCCAGAAGGCTCAACCATGTATAGTTGCGGCCCATCTCTGTCATAACCACCAAGTATCACCCCACATCCAAAAGGCCTGCAACCATTTACAATCTTGAGAGATTACATTTCATGTGCAAAGAGCTGCGAGAGAATAACATTAGATGTAACACCGAGATCATAATAAATAAATCAAACCTGAGCCACCAATAAAGTGTACACAGATGCACATAGCTCGCGACACGTTCTGCAAGCTCTTTCACTGGAACTGGCTCACCTTTCAGGCTGCAACATGAACCCCCACCACAAAAAAAAAAAAAAAAAAAAAGCATGATTAGTAAGCAAACTGCATTGAGACTGAACAGCCCAGTTCTATAGTAGAAAGCAGCTATACCCGAAACCATAACACAAGAGGGGGGAAAAAAGATAACTTTCAATAATTGGGTGGCAAAAAGGAGATCAAATTTCACCAGAAGCAAACCTTTCATAGTTGGTTGCTTCAGCCTTGGCCCTTGCAACAATTTGCCTCCCGTCAGCAGCTAATCCTGCAACTGCCTAGCATAGGACAAACACAGACAGGTGCATCAGGCCTTTATTTACAATAACAACAGCAATAGATGAAATAAATTAAACCAAACACTGGGGCAAAGATAAAGTTTTAATGTAATAATCAACATAAGCCATGACCTAACTAGGATTAATTGTTTCGTATGGGATCCTCTCCTCCCAACAACTACTGTATCAAAAGGATCCAAAATAACAGACTAATTGCTTTGAAAGTTCCTACAGACCAATACAACCATAAAGTTCCACAAATTGACAGACAAAATGGGAAACAAAAATGATCTCATCATCACATTCCAGAGCAGGACACTTTTCCATACAGATGTAGATAAATTCAAACCTTTCCAAAGCACTTTTGGGTTTTTGTCAATATGGATCAGCAAGCCCCAGAGATGTGAACAAAAATGAGTAAAAAAATGCCACTAGTATTTTCTTTTCCTATTGTTTTATCTTCCTCATCCTAATCTAAGAAGCTAGTATACAAAAACAACAGAAACTGAGCAGAAAATTCCAACTGTTAGATAATAAATATCATGTTCTCTTTTTCGGCCTCCTCTGAACTAAGAATCTACATTGTATCAAAAAAACAGTGTAACGCCATAAATAAGTTATCCAATTACAGTAAATCCCATACATAATTCAGGGGATAAGTTATCCTAGACGAGCACATTCTTCTTATTCTTGAGATGAGAAGCAAGCAAAAGTCTATCAAAAAGTATTTTGACGAAAAATTTGGAGGAACTTGGTTAGTAAAGTACCATGCCAGAATGACGATGAACGGAGTGAATTCTCCTGTTGGAGCCAGGTAACATCATCTTTGAAGCAATCAGCTTCTCCACCCCCTGATCAAATTGTCAAGCCCAATCAAAATAAACCTAATTTAATAAAAGCAGAAAAAAATTACTGAAAAATTGGAAGAGAAAGGAGACCGACCAGGACAATGCCGTCTTTGCACTTGATGCCGACGACGGTCCCGCTATTGTCCACAGCCTTGGCGGCATACTCAATCTGGAACACTCGTCCGTCCGGCGAAAAAGTCGTCACCGATAAATCGTAGCCTGTACCTATGCTACTCATGATTCTTCTTCTTTGATATTAAACCCTATAAATCTTCAACCCCAAAAAAAGACGAAAACTTTGAAAACTGATCACCCAAAATAGTAATACAAGAACAGAAAGCAATCAAATACACTCAAAAATCGAAAAAAATAATTTTACTTACTCGAAGAGAGAATCTGCGGAGGAGCTATGGAACTATAATCGGAAGTGGATGCTTCGGAAAAGGAATCTGACGATTGAATCTAAGAATTCACTTCGTTAATGGAGTTGCAAGTTCAAAAGCAGTAAAGGAGAAAACGGAAGTCGATTGGCGACGGAGATGATAATAATCGGGCTTCCGATTACAAAAACGGGTTAAAACCCTTTATAAACTAATCTAATACTTTACTTTGGGGGTGGGGGTGGGGGAGGGATATTTAATGCAAACTTTAATCCTTCTATTTTCTTTTATTTCATTCTTTTACCCTTAAAATGTACTAAAAGAAATAGACATAATACAAACCAGATATTTCTGCCGGGTGAATGACCAATCACCGGTGCATTAAATCGGTTCAATAATAAAATAAATATTCTAAAAAATTAAAAAATACATTAAATATCCAAAAAAAATTGTTCTAACTTTTAACCTTTTGAAATCTTGTGAATTTAATTTAAAAATATATTAACTAAATTGGGAAATTTTTGGGACGGAAAATTAAGGATTTTTTTAATTACGAGTAAAGTTTTCTTACAAATCTACAAATGTTAATTGACTGTAATATATCAAAACTGTTAAATCAAATTTGCTTAACTTAATTTTCACCGTTAAAGGTCATAACTCTATACTTTGACAACTAAGTCTAAAATCACTTTGGTGCAAGGGTAGAAAATATTGATTGTGAAGATGACACATTATTTTCCTGTGTATTGGTTTAATTAAGTACTATGAATATGAAAACTCAATGTGGACTATTTTTTCTTCAGAACCAGAGGTAGTAAATTTTTTTCAATATTTTAATGCAAATTTCAATCACTTTCCATAAAGAAGGTAATACACCTCCATTGCCAAATATTTGTTATTCAAATAGGCATCGATAATTAGTCCAGGACAATTAACCTCTTATATAATTTAGCAGTTGATTACTATCTTTATAGTTATGGGTTTGTCCAACTGATGCATGTTTAGCTAAAGCGTCTGCAGTTGAATTGAGCTATATATTATATATATATATGTGTGTGTGTGTGTCTGTGTGTGTATACATTTATAATGGTGTCCTGTCATGATTACCTTGAAATTTTTTTTAAGTTGATATGCTTTTCCAAGGATATGAATTTTCACCATGAAGTATGTCAATTATGATCTTATTGTCATAACTAAGGCTGTTAAACGAATCGAACCAAGTTCGAGTACTCGCGAACTACTCGGTCAACGGCTCGAACTCGACTCGAGTTTGACCGAATTCGAGCCGAATCGTCAGTTAATCGAGTCGAGTTCGAGTATTAAATGTTGAGCTCGAGAGCTCGACGAGTAGCTCGGCTCGATAATATTTAATAATATTTTATTAATACTATATAAAAATATTAATCTTTAACTAACTTTTTACAATTTAGTCCATTATTTATTTACTTGTAATAATTTGATGGGACTTTCTTGAATATTTAATTCCAAGCAAATCACTTTCCACCACCCATTTCCCTCGAATAAATCATCCTCCATCTAAAATTTATCTTCCATTTTACTCTCCTCATTCATCTATTCTTTTTTTTTTTGCCCAGAATCCCATATCTCATCCATTCGCAGCCTCTCTCTCCCACCATTTTCATCCATTTAATTACAAGTTTAAAAGCTTTCCGTCTTCCATCCGTTCTCATCCGTTGTCCAAATACACAGATCTTATCTTTCATGGTCTCTTGCTTTCTTCTTCAAACTATTTCCCCCTTCATCTCTCTTAATTATACATCACTCATTCATCCACTTCTGTTCCCGGCCGGTCTACTTTGAATTAACTTTTTTTTTTAATAAACTTATTATTGTTGTTATATTAATAATACTCTGATGGAAAATCAAACTAGATGTCATGGAAAAAAAATTATCCTTTTACCAAAAAATAATACTAGCAGAAAATTACAAATAAAAAAATTTTCAATTATCGAGTCGAGTTCGAGTCGAGCTCGAGTTTATCAAATTTCGTAATGAGTCGTGTTCGAGTCAGATAATAAATACTCGTCGAGTTCGAATTCGAGTTCGAGCCGAATCAAATTATTCAAGTTTGAGTTTGAATATACCACTACTCAAGCTCGACTCGAATTGAATACACCCCTGGTCATATCTTATATGAACATTTTGTAACCGGCCTCTTCACATTTCTTCATTCCAGTGATGCTTCTGCTTCAGCTTCAAAACTGCAACTTAAGCCTATGTGTTTACAAGCTGTTGAAATAAGGTTACCTTGATCTCCTCTAAATTAAGAATGTATCCAATTCCAGTTTTTCCGATTTTCAAGTACAGATCTATATGTGTTTAAAGCATATGAGTTCCGTGGGGGAATTTTCCAATATAAGACTTTTAACCTCTTTCTTTTTAGCCTTTGAAGTTGTATATGAAACAAATCTTATAAGTTTTTTGCTTTAGTATTGATTTTGCAGATAGTTCATGAACTCGTAAAAGATTAGCAATATGAACTACATGTAGGAGCTCAATTAGTTTTTCAGCATTTAATTCAAACTTTATGCAGAAAATTAATTTGTGCTCGTTCTTATTAGATACTACTTCTTATTTTCCAAATCTCCCAAATAATAAAAACTAGAAACACTCATATAAATCAATCTATATATCATATTATAGAAAAAACCACAACAATTGTACATGCTAATTTTTTATCATATCCTTCAACAGATTCCCGCTCATTTTAAAGTAAAATAGTAAAATCATTAAACTCTTGCACTCTTAGTCCATAAGTTAATGGTAAAACCAATATTTCCTAACTTACCACAAATTCCTAAGGTACCACTACTATTGTTCTTCTTCACTCCTCTCTGAAGTAAATAGTAAAATTCCTTACCAACCACAGTTCCAGTTCTTTACCAAAAAATATTGCCTCCCTCGATCCAGGTTTCTTCTTCTTCTGAGATAATTTGCCTCCATCTTCTACAACCAATCCCCCCACGATCTTCCAAAACATTAGTCCCAGTCGGCATGTTTTTCTCCTCTAGAAGAAATTAAACTGAATCAATTGCCTTCCTAAAGGAAATTCATTCGAAAACGCCGAAAATCCTCCACCTCTCAACTGGTGAATTAAACCTACAAATCCTCATTCAATTTAGAAAGGGTTTTCTTTGACTAATTCAGAAAGTGTCTTCTTCTCCAAACTTACAAAACTATGAAGCCACAACTGCAACCGAAGAGTCGCGTGTGCATCAGAAGTAACAAAAGGTTGAATACACTATTTTATGTTCTGGGTTTTGGAAACCAAATTGGATTCATCAAATTACATTGTTTTACATGGTATTTACAGGTTCTGAATATGAAATAATCGAAGGATGACTTTGCTGCACATGTGGTTGATTTGAAGGAGATAAAGTAACCATTTAATATTAGGAGCTGCTTTTTTTAGGGGTTTATCATGGATAAATTCCATCATGGATACTAGAAATGTTTTATTTAAATTTAGATTGTAAAGCTTTTGGCAAACACTCATGAAATTGATTAATAAGATGGTGCAAATTTTTTCAACTATAAATATATAAACAATATTTTATTTGAAGTTGATTCCAAATTTTGATTACTAAAAATTCATGAGATACAAACTTTTGCAGATGAAGTTGAAAACCTTGCTGATGCTGTAAGGAAAGCAACATTATCAAGCAATGAGCCTTTAGATTCTAAGGGGGTATGTTGCATCTATATAGATTGGTTAAATTTATCATAATTTTAAATTTGGATAATTATAACTGTGTTAAGTGTTAACCCCCCAAAAAAACTTGGAAGTTTAGGTTGTTCTAGGTTAAAAGTGTCAAGGGTATTGAAAGTTTCATTTTTAATAGCGTAAAGGCCAAATCGATCAAGATAAAAAATTTAAGATCCCCAAAATTTAAATTCAATTAGCTGATCGATGCCATTAAGTGTTACTATCTATCATCTGCAGTAATCTAAATTGATCTTATAGTTTATAATATTGCCGTTTTGGATCTCTTTTTTCTAATTTTAGATTACTTGAGTTAATGGCGCATCCCACTGATTTCAGCAATTCGTGTTGCAATAGAAACTTATGATCTTTTGTAGCATTGCCTTTTAATATCTATATGGATATCTTTGTGGAGAACATATCTCTTTAGCTATAAGAATTATCAATTTGGAACTCTTTTTTACTCAAGTCATCTATTATGTACAATGTACACTGTAGCATAATTACCTTTTCCATTTTTAGTTTTAGGAAAAGACTATTATGTAGTTACTCTTGAACAATTAATGCATGATACTATGCTGTACCTTTGTGGCTATGTTCTAGATGATTTTAGCTTTTCATCAAATATGTTTAAACACTAATTTTATTATCATAAACAATCTATACAGGACATACAATATAGAAGCTAAGTAAGGATCATTCTTGCAATCAAATCCAATGGTTCTTTTAACCTTTTACAAAGAAAGCTTCAGCATAGAAGTCCCCGTAGTTTTTGCAAAACAAGGCAGTTTAAAATCACTGTTCTCTTTTGCAGATTCAAGCATTGACAATTGGACATGGTTATATGTCCTTACAAGAGGCATCATAAGTCGGAATCAAAAGATTTTAAGTTTGCATGGATTGCCAACTTCACACTTCAAATGAGATGGTCACTTATTTTTGGTAGAAGTTCGTGAATTTTTTACCTCTTAAATATTATTACTTCTGTGTTTCTTTTTTAAGTGTAGTGGCTATCAACGAATCAAGCTACTCGCAAGATATTCGCAAATAGTTCGGTCAAAATTCGACTCGAACTCGAAATTGACCAAGTTCGAGCCGAACTCGAGGCTATTTGATTATGAAACGAACCAACTACAAGCTAGCATAATGTAGACTCGATAGTTTGTCAAGCCGCTCGAGCAGAAATTAGGAATACAGTAATAATGATAATGCAGGGCACCACCTATGAATGCAAATTAATGACATTAATTTCTTCCCATTTCCAACATTCTAAAATCTAAACTCCAACACCAACCAATTCGTTTTCTTCTTCTCGCAATTGCATTTGACTTTCCATCTCAAATTGATTACTGCCCCAAATTCAAACAGTCAAAAGAATAAAAGAGATTTAAGATTCATCACCGCAAGTATTGTACGGCTGGCCGAGGATATGGGGGGCACAATCTTCTCCACAGGTCTGCAAGAGATTTTGAAGATGTTGGATTGGAGGGGAGTTTTAGTATTT